GAACAAGGCAGGTTCCGAACAGTTTTAAGCTAAGATTCCAAGCAACCGATCGAGGTAAATGATCAAGAAAAAAAAAAAATCGAGCTGTGCTAAATCATTTCAAAAATACTCACTTGAAGTGAGTTGTAATGTAATCTTTTGCCCCGAAACTGACTAAAATTCCAAGCGCTAAAAGAGGTTCATACAAAACTCGTCAATTCTATCAACACCGAGTAATGATGAATTTTCCCGGTTATGTTAACTCCGGGCATTTGTGGATTTTTTTTCTTTTCATGAAAATTTTTTACTGAAACACGCATACCTATACCGCAGAATTCGTTTGGCGCGATCACAGGCCAAATGCGCATAAAAGACCGGTGCTGGCAGTGACACAGATTTATTGCAACGTACGTACACATGGCATAATGCATAAGCCAATTGCTGCAAAGAATCTCCTCCTTCCGTTCAGTAAAATTCGAAATAAGAATTACAAGGGTTGTTTTGGAGCCGAGTTGCAGAAAATATGCCGAATGCCAAAATGCCAAGATTGCCCCGGACAGTTGATGTAGGGATTCCAAGTCAGTGATACTGCTGAAAAATTCCCATAAAAACCGTGCAGCTGTGCCTACCCTTCGACCCTAATACCCATTGCTTGCTTGGTGTGCGCCACCTTTTCGAAGGCTGTCCGAGTGGTCGTTTACTTTATCGCTGGTAGCGTTCAGCAGAGATCGACGAGGATTATCGGTTCAGACTCAAAAAAAAAAAACCAGAAAGTAGCAAAAATTAGGAAATTTTAAAAATTCGAAAAAAAAAATGCATGGACTAACCTGCCATTCATCGGCTGTTAACTGCCATGAATCGTACAGAACAGTATAGTGAGCCGGTTTTGAGGTTCCCTGCAATACAAACTGTCTCATCTATTTATAAAACTGTAGCTTCTATGCTTACATTTTAGCACCCTGACCTCTGGAAATAAAAATATGCTTCAATATATTCAGCGAGTAGGCAGGGTGCCTCGTCCTCACTTAGAAGATGCAACGCTCAGGATGAGGGTAGCAGTGTCCAACATCTGTCAAGAACATCTCCAAATAGCTAAAGTGTTGTAGGAATTTTAAAAATACAAAGAGTGAATATCCCCGGCTGGGGGACTGGAGGAGGATGTGGTAAAGCCTTACCAAATACTACTCTTCGTACAACTTTGCTCTCCCAAATCAACCAGTGGCAATGACTAGCTATAATATTCTCCTCCACGATAACTGCTTGATAAGTTGAAGCGACAAATATGAATCAGAAGAATCTTGTGCCGATAGGCAGCTTGCAATCAAAAAACTTGACAAATTTATTTCCTTGATAACGACCTCAAAATGTACGACTACACCGAGAGTGCCTCTAAAAAAGGGAATATTTCAAAAGTAGGCAAAAAAACAAACGAGAAAATCATACCAGAGCGCCGTAGTGTGAGCAGAGGTAGAAATCAAAGGTGGAGCAACTCGTCACTGCACGATCCACTACTGTTCCCGGTGGCACATTTTTATCATTATTTGAGGTATCCTTGTGAAATCTCTTCTCCTGCCTCCTGCAGAACGCTTCATATGGGACAAATCTCAAAACAGGATATCGAAAATAATACCTATTTTCCCGCATATATGATATTTGCAAGGAAAAAGCATCGATGAATTGGACACTGGCGAAGCTATACAGATAGATAGACAGTTCCATCGATCGTAACTTTTCAAAGATTTTTGAAAAAAATGTGACTAATAGTACACGACGTCTACGGGTTGCCGGTAAAGCAAGAAGCCAGTGCTAGGAGGTGCAGTAGACATAGCAGTGGAGTGAAGGATGCTTGGAATGTCTCTTCGGGACCAGATAAACAATAACTTTTTGTTGTGAACGAATAAAGGGTGCCACTGCGACCAAACGAAAAATCAAATTCAACAGGCATGGTATGTTACTCGTTTTGCCGGCAATCGGTGGAAGTCGTGTATTAGCGATGATACTCGTAATTGAGTGGAAAAATATTCACTGAAGAGGTAGCAAATATATAAAAAACAATCCTTGGGTGCTAAGTAGAATCATGTAACTGAGAGCTGAGCTTAATGTATGGGAACCTCCCAATAACATCATTAATACCGGATCGTTACAGACTGTTTGGTACCCCAATAACCCTCGCAATAATCAAAATGCACCTGTTCTCAGGATTGCTTCGATTGTACTTTCCACTGAAATGCAGCCCAGTGCAAAACACATTCAGTCCCCGGAGCTAATGCAAATCATAAAATAATCTCTGTTTTGGAAAAAATTCTGTAAAAAAAGCGAACTCACCGGCCAGCTCGATCATTTTCACTCATAAAACGAGTGTGATGTCGCTTCTGTATTACGGCATACGAAACGGTCGGTTTGTAGTCATGCGCCAGCTGATGCGCTGCTGATTTGAGATACAGCAACTCCTCGTTCATTACATCCAGAAATTCAGTATCCGAAACACCATCTCTGGAAAAGTCGAAAAATAAGACTAAAATGAAGAAAAAAAAAAGTCAAAAAAGCCAGTATAACAATCAAGCAGGAAGAGATAGTCGAATACAGTAGGCCGAGATTTCGACTCCTCCGATGGGAGAGCCAATACCTCTGCAATCTGTTCAGTCGTTTTCACGATCAACTGGTGCTGACATATGATAGAGAGTCAAATTCACCCGGAGACTACTCGTAATTATCTCTTAAAAGGAGTCGTTGACAGTTTTGCCAGCGAGTGGCCGCTGTTGGTACTAACTCGGACTATTTCCCGGTACCTATAAAAAACGAATATGGAAGGTTTTGGTTCCTGCGAGCAGATCGACGTGAGATTTTAGCCAGTTTTAAAGAGATGAGAAACTAAAGTGGAAAAAGATAGGGTTAGCATAGAGAAATTAGGAAAACGAAATAAAGGGTAAGTGGAGAGAAAAGAGAGAAAATCCGAGCAGGTGAGGATCCCAGAAATCCTGAAAAGTTCTAAAAAAAAATTTTAAAAAGTTTCGGAGCTGAATCTATCTATAGCTTTGCTATCACTATTTTATAGTTACTATTAAAGGAGGTCTTTTGCTGAGTTAGTCAAAACTTTTTTCTCGGGGAACATAACATGATAGAGGAAATCGTGCTGAGGGTAACCGTAAAGAAACTCACTTTTCCGGACCCGTCAAAGTTATTTGAAATTCTAATCGTCAAAAATTTTTATAAAACGTTATTTATTAAAAAATAATGATTTCCTAAAAACCTTAATATTTCCCAATCGCTTTTCTCACTTTAGTATCTTTTGCATAGTAACTGGGCAGGAAAGAAGAGATAAGAGACAGAATCAGAGATGCGATTTGAGGTATGAATCTTGTCTCTGGAGGACGAATGCCAAGATATCGACAGCACCTGATTCCTGCTTAAGCTACAAGTTTCAGAAGGCATATGGATAATTTTTCACGTTATCACATGTACAAACACATTCACATGCATGCATACATACATACATAAATACATGCATACATACATACATACATACATACATACATACATACATACATACATAC